GGGAATCTCTGATAAACCCACAAAATTGCTCCTAAAGAAAGAGTCTTGGAACATCATGCAGATGTCAGTAGTACCAGCAGGTAATACTTTGTTCCTGGCCCTGGAAGAAGGAGGTGAGTGAAGGAGAGAGAAGTTGGTGACATCCCTCTTTCTGCCTGTGGTAGACTGCCACAACTGGAGCAGACTCACGCTCACTTATGGGATAGACTGGGAGTTCTCGTTATCACACTGGATTCACCCTCTCCCTATCAAAACAAAAAGACATTATAATTTATATCTTCTCTAAGAGTGACCCACAGAACTGCAGGACCTGTCCAAGACTTTGTCCAAGGACAGAAAGTGGGTTGTTTGATGAAGCAAGTTTAATAAGGAGTGGTGGGAAAGAATAAATGTGTTTTATAACACATTCGAAAATTAATTCATAACACTGTTAATCTCAGCTCATTCAATATAACTGTTGCACTAAAATAAGATGAATGAGAGTTGAAGGAGAAAAGCATTAAGTAAAACCAAGGAGGGTATTTTATGTTAATGAAATGAAGGCTCTGTAACAGTGGCACTCTTTCCTGCATCCCTCCTTTCTCTCTCCTCCCTGAGCCTCCAATCTGTCTCCTGCTCCACGTTCTATAAACATGACAAGGGCTCCAGTGCCCTTCCTCCTTCCTCTGTGGTCAGAAGTCTCTCTGCTCCTGCATGTGACTCACCCACAAGAATTCAAGGGTGGCTCCATCAATGCATTTCTGAGTGACCTCGAACCGTGTACCTACCCTCACTGAATTTCAATTTGTTATTTGTTAAATGTAGATAAAAGTTCCTACCTTGAGGATTAAATAAAAATAATTCTTATAAATTGCTTAGCTTGGCATCTGGAAGATAATAATAAATGGCAGTTATCAGTAAAACAAGGTTAGTGATGGGAGAATCTATATAGCCATTTCATCTTCTTTCAAGAGCAGAAAACGAGCCTTCTCGGTGACGTGTGCCAGTCCATCGTGTATGTTGGAGAGCTGCCTGCTGATGGTGATTATGATGACATTGAAATGGTAACAACAGCAGTAATGACTGATAACAAGATACCCCAGAAATGTAACAACTGAAAGCAAGTGGCCCCGGAAAAAGACCAGTGTGGCTAACGGAGCCTAGATTATTACTAGGAATTGGCAGTAGGAATTGGCAGTACTGGATGGCTCAAGTCCAGCATAAATTCCACGCAGCCTCCAGAGCAAACATAGCTTCCAGGATAAATATCCGTTGTGTGTAACATCTCGATAGCCCCTGTCGATCACCTTCAGTCTTTTCAGCTGCTCGTATACATAGAGTAGGGCCCCATCATATTAAATAAGAAGGACAGCAATAAATCTGTTTAATTGAACGTCAGCACCATCACATAATGTCAGAAACATTAAGGGAAAGTGCAAATATCTAAAGGCTGAGGGAATTATAATTTGGAGTAAGCAATGGGTTCTATAAAACAAATTGCTTCTGACAAAACCAATTGCAGTTTTGATAGAATTATGAAATCATTTCCTTATGGGATGGCAATTATATTTGAACATTATCAAATAATTTGCCAGTTCCTCATGCAATTTTAAATAATTCAGATTATACTTAAACATGTGCAATCATAAAATGGAACGATTCAACGAAAACTGGCTGAGGTTCTGCAGATAAAGAGGCCATAGTAATAACAATGTGTGAAACTCCAAATACGGTTTGGAGGGATTGCTCCCTCTGTGTTTATCATCTTGGTTAAAAGAGTGGGTGATGAAGTAGCAATACAAAATGTTGTATTAGGTCCTCTTCAGGAGAGTGTCTGAATATAAAGGAAAAAGAACAATAGGAGTGGAGACATAGAGAATTAAAAACTGCAGCAGAAGAGGAAACGCTGACTCAGGTTGTAAAATTCAATGTAAATTATGTTATGTAAAGTATTCTGATACGCAGGGCTTATTAAGAACATCTGGTAATGCCTAAGCGGCGAACGGATAGTGGCAGGCAAAACATTTGAAATAAATTCACGACGACAATTCCTCTTTCCTAACCCTTTCATCCAAAAGAGAAAACGAGGAACTAGAACTTAAAATATTAGTTGAATAACTATATCGTTATAGCTTGTAAATATGGCTGTATATAAGTTAACTGAGAAAACAGAATGTAATTTGCTAAAATTTGCTTGGATAGCAATTTAAAAAGTGAGAATCAGAGATACTGAATTGAAATTGAGACCAGCAACATTTGGGGGGAAATAGTAGGAAAATAAAATCCAGCAAATGCAGGGTCTAGATTGCAGAAGAGCCGCTGAGATATTTGGTTCTATAAACTTTAGACATAGTTCATTATAGACAAAGTTGGGAAAATATGCTTGAATCTTAGAAACTGATTAAATGTGTGCTAATAATCAGCAGCACTAATCAAAACTGTTATTGATTAGGTTAGATCTTTTTCACCTGGAAAAATGCCTTAGCGATCTGCATTTTATACGTGAGACATTGAAACTCACACTTGGAAGCAGTCATGCTGTGAGCACTTACACTGTGAAATCAGCAGATGATACAAATGGTAAGATCAGGCCGTCCCCACCTCCACCCCAAGTTGGTTGTTCAGCATTTACCATCCCACCACTACCTTCTCACTTCCCCCTCACATCTTACTCAAGGCACATTCCAGACATAATATCACTTCATTTGCAAATATTTCATCCTGAAAAAAATTCTTTTTATTTAAACATAATCATACTGTACAAAAATAGTAATTCGTTCATATCAAATTGACAATCAGTGATCTAATTTCTAATTATCTCTTTTTTTTAAAATTACAGTTTGTTGGTTTGAATTAGGATTCAAATAATGTCCTCTCATTGTAATTGGTAGATATGTCTCTTAATTCTCTTTTAATATAGACTCCACCTTCATCTTTTCCTTTTTATCTTGAAATTTGTTGAAGAAACTAGTTTGTTTCTCTGGTAGCTCCCTGGAGTGTTGATTTTGCTGAGTGCACATCCCTGGTGGTGTTAGATGGCTTGTTCCTCTGTCCTATGAATTTCCTGTAAATCGGTTTCATGGATCCAGAGTTTTAATCACACTCAGGTTCATTTTTTGGCCAGACAATTTAATAAAGTGGTATGTTATTCCACTAGGAGGCACATAATATTGGCTATCTCTAGTTTAGTGATGGTTGTCCACTGTTGTTGATGACTGCCAGATCCATTATTTCATTAGGAGTTAAAGATGGTGTTCCAATTCTAATTTACTACAGTATACTTCTATAAATGGAGATTGTCCTTCATCTTCTACTTGGTAACCCAGTAGTACAGTTTGTGTGTGTGTGTGTGTGTGTGTGTGTGTGTGTGTGTGTATGCAGAATAGTGTTTGGATCTTTTTTTATTTAACAGTTTTTAAAATAATGAGTTGATTAACTGGCATGTCTTAATGGTGACTAATTCTACCCTTTCTCTCTCTTTCTCTCCCCCTTTCTTTCCTTCCTTCCTTCCTTCCTTCCTTCCTTCCTTCCTTCCTTCCTTCCTTCT